TCGCTAAGGATCTCACTGATTGGTACATCAAAGACAACCCAATCCGACATCTAGTGTAGTATCATAATCGAGTCTAGGGGTTAGGTGTAACTTTCCAGTTTTGCCCATCTATTTCCAAGGTCCAGAGCAATACTGGAAATCTGGTCCGGTTCAAAAGTTCTATTAATCCTACATTGTATGTGCCTAGGATCTCACCCTGGTAGCTGAGACAGGCCACCCCAACCGACTTGGTGACACTACAGTGTCAGCCTTGTCAGGATAGGTCTCCCCAGACCGATCCACTGGTTGTAAACATTCTAAACTAACACGAGTCTCATTAAGTGTCCAGTTTAAGGGTATTACATAAAAACATACAAAGGGAACATGAATCAAATATGTACTTTTATTCATTTACAATAAATTCATAAAATACATCATTCTTGATTGAAGCTAAGGGCATACAAAACTGTCTAACAAGAGAAACTTTTAAAATTTTGCCCAACCTTCCTGCAGGGTTCGACCATCCATATAATGGATCTCTCATCCCTTCACTTAGGCCATTACTATCCTTTTTTTCTTCTTCTAAAGAAGGGGAAAATAGCATTATAGGTTTATATTTGAACCTAGCACCATCAGTTGATGATGGATACAAAGATCAATACTAACCAAAAAATGATTTTACAATTTGATAGAACCCCTGAAAATGTAACATCTCATACCATTAGAAGGTATTGGGTTCTCAAATAACTTGTCAATATTTACCATCCAAACAACAATTAGAAAACAATATAACCTTTTCAAGCAAAAGAAAATCACAATAGGATTGAGCTTAAAAACCATTGGGCTGATAGGACATACCATCTGTAACTCAACCTGCTCTCGAGGAAGAACAAGAGATCTCGAAGTAAGGATAAACTCTTTAAGTGAAGCTGGCCAGTTATCCTAGTATCATAAGAAAATAAGCACCAATTGTTAAGCCTGCACATGGATATTTATCATTAATCCATCCTTTTTCTTTGTGAGTGTGTGTGTGTTTGGTGGGGGGGAATAAATTTTATTCAAAAGAAACATAATCATCACAGTAGAATAACTAAGTCCACTGCTATAATCGCATCATGGAAACCAAAATGTTGAAATAAGAACTACAGCCAAGAACAAGTTTAAAAAAAAAAAAAAATACACATGATTAAATGGTTAGCATTGACTTATCACATACGGGGGCTCTCTGAGGGAAATCTCGAAGGTCTGACCCATAAATTCGATGGTCATAAATTAGCACTTGTCTGGAATTTCAAGAAAGTGAAAATGACAACCCTTCTATTGTTAAAAAAAAAACCCAGGAGATGGATAATCAACAATAACTTTCAGAACGTGAATAATTCTTCAGAGTGTAACAACGTCACACTTACCCTTACCATCAACGTAGTAATTGAATTAATTATTCCCTTTTATACATTTAGACAAACTTGTGCAATTTTTATTAATGAGGAAGAAAAGAAAAGCTTGTCAATTGTCCTACTCTAAAAAGAAAACGCATTTGTTGTAGCTTATAGAAACAAAAGGAATAAAAAGGACGAGTTAATTAGGAATACATCATTACTGACAAAGAGAACGAAAAAATGTAGTAGAACAACAACCTGGACAATTCCAGACGGAATCTTGAGAAGATTTTCAACTGATTCTTTGCGAAGGCAATTCATCCACTGCTTATCAATAGACTCCCATAGTCTGTCCTGCAAAAAATAATAAAAACGAATAATACGATTTAGAGCAAAATTCAGGCAATGTAAGCAATTGGAAATGTATTGAGATGAAATCAATAAAAAAACAATAGAGCATGGAAAGGAGATACCTTAAAGAAGTTGACGACATGGTCGTTCAGAAGAAACATGTAAGGTCTAAGGAAGTCGTTAATGGCGCTAATCCATTCTAGGGTTTGAGCTGCAGTATCGCATGAGTATCTGCAGTGTGGAGCCATTTTGGAGGGAAACGCTTTCGCGGAGGAAGTATCTGTTCCCCTGTGTCTGCGTGCACGTGGCTGGAAATTCGAGCCCTGCGCTACGACAGTATCGTAGCAAAAGTGAACTCATCTGCAAGAGGGGGTAATTATAAAGCACTCCCCAAGTGAATAGGCCAAAGCCAAAATGCCAGAAGTAGCGCAAACCTCGGGTTGGGCTCGGGCCTGACGGCCTTGACCCAGCCCGAGGTCAAGCCTAAAGAGGCATTTGGATAAGTTTTGGCTTAGAATTTTGTAATTTATACAGTAAAGGCCAATATTAAAATAAGTAAACTTGTTTTATTATGTTTTATAAATATTTTTTCACGTGAGAAAATTATTTATTTACTTGAGAAATGAATAGATTTTATTCGAGTAATGGAACTAATTTTATCATGGCCCCAATACTTAATGCAAAAAAATACGATATAATTGGTTAATGGAAAATAGATACGTCATTGATCAACTTCTCTCTATTTATCGATAAATAAACGAGACCTTAGACTTTTTGAAGTTGGACTCTTGGATTGGGAACCAGCTTGGTATAATTTGCTTCAAAGCATGCTTTTCAAAATAAAAACCTAAAATGGGTGTTACCAAACTACTTTTCTGACTTCCATATACACCTAGGACCATTATATTGGCTACTTAAAATGTAGTATTTCAACCTATTAATCCAAACTATTTATTATAAAAACAATCATTACCTACCTAGCTAATATTAAATCCATAAATTAAAAAAAAAATACTAATGGATGCACCACATTACATAATAAATGTAACAAACAAAAGACCACCATGCAAAGTAATAACCAAAGAACAATGCAACATAATATGTTGCAACTACGACAAGCCCATATCAATGGTTTAATCGATAAACTAGCGGGGACCCATGCGATGCACGGGATTGGTTAAGTTAAAGATAAACAATAGATACATGTAAGAGAATATATATAGGGATGTCAACGAGTTGGGTACGGCACACTCGGAATTTCCTACTCACTTTTCCTACCCGCCGTGAATTGGAGCCATACATCTCTATTATGAATTGAGAGATGTGTGGCTACAATTAATGGCAGGTAGAGAGTGGGTAGGAAAAGTGAGTAGGAAATCTGGGCTCAGGTACGACATGGGTTTGCCTCAATCTTAACCCAATCCTCTAGTACTCCAACCTGAACCCCATCTAACCTGGCTTAAAAATACATGATTCCCAAGCCTGACCTAACCCTATAGGGTTTAACCCGGTTCCGACCTGACTTACTTGTATAGTTTTAAATGTATTTTTTAACACATTTTGAAGACCCAAAATACTTTAATTTAAATAAGGAAATTGTTTTATATATTTTAAGTTGTTATTTTTTCCATTTAAAAAAGAAGAAAATCAAAATCAACATATAAATAAATTATAAAACTTTAAGCCTATAAAGTTAGAAGTAAAAAAAAAAAAATTGCAAGAACACTTGGTATATATGCAAGGTATCATGACTTGGCGGGGGGCAGGTCAACCAAAACCCAACTCTGACCCGAACCAGACTTGGGTCAAAGAATCAAAACTCTAACCTGACCCTAAACCAAATATACTTGACCCTAACCCGACCCTATAGGGTCGGGTCAAGCTGGGTTAACCATTTAACCCGACCCATTGACATCCCTGTAAATAATTGTTTTATATAATAATTATATTTTATATACTACTTTTAATAATTTTTTTACAATACAAAAATACCAATAATTAATTTTAGATAAGGTTGTTTTTCCCCCCACGGGGAGGGAGATGGGGAAATTTTCGTCCCTGCTGACGGTGTGGGGATGGAGAGAGCACTCCTTACCCTGTGTGGACCCCGATCCCCGCCCCATGGGATCCCCGCTAATATATGTATATATATGCATAGTTTATATATGTATGTATGTATGTACAGATACGTCTATATGTAAATACTTTTAAAAATATGGTTGAATATGTATGAATCTTTTCTAATAGGATTGTAAATTTTAATTAGTTTATTTTTATTTTTTAAATAAAATAAAAAAGCAAAAACATAATGGTTGACATTATAAAGAATCACAGGGAGTGGGGATCCCCGTGGAGATAGGGATGGGGAAAACTTTATACCCGTTAGCGGGGATGGGGATGGGGATAGGGAGAGGCTTCTTGTCCCCACCCCATTTTGGACCTTGATGGACCCAAATCATAACTAATTGATGGAGGACGATTTGTCCCGACCTACGAGATGGCGACACGTGGACACTAACTCAGCATAAGCGATAGCTCAGCATTGTGGCCTAGTACAACCAAGTAACGGGCCCGTAAGGCAGCTCACTACATCGTAGCGCGCAAAAGGAGGAGCTCGCCACAACGCGAGCTTCGGGTTCCCCAAGCTACCTCTAAAGGGATATTCTGAGGCAATTTTAGCTCGCGAGCTAAGAAAACCAGCTCGCCCGAGCTCCCAAGCAAACAAGTCATCCCGATGACCAGTTTCTACCAAGGGTACTCTTGAAGTATTCTGAGCTCGCTGCAAAGTAGCACGCGAATGGGCCGCACGAGCATTCCTCAGGAAGCTTATATCTGACAGGCCGTACCGATCAGGCTACGCCACGTCCCCTACTGACGGTGCAGTCCCTGTCCTTTCGACAGTCTGCACCCATGTCTCTCAGCAAGCGGAGGCATGCCTGTCACTTTAGAGACGTGTCACTCACCCGGGCGAGGAGTACGTCACAACGGCCACCTGCGCAGCCCTGGCAGGTAACGGCTGTGCCAGGGGCCCAGTGGCGGTTATGCCCGATTTGACCAGAACGCCCCTATAAAAGCCCTCAGGGCAGAAGAGAAACTTCTTCTTGAGACCTCTAATCTCTCAAGTATAGTGATAAAGCGTGACCTACACTCTTAGCTACCAGCTCTTCTTTTCCTTCCTTTTTGCATTCTAACTTAAGCATTGAAGTATTCCCACCGGGTAAAATCCCCGGGAGTCCTTCCTTTCCATCTTCTCAGGTGCCGTCTGTTGCCAACAAGGAGCCAGTCAGCAGCCAGCTAGGAGTGTTCGAATCGTGCTGCATCATTTGGCGTCGTCTGTGGGAAACGCTTCTAAAAGCCTTCCTCTAAACCTTCATAGTTCTTTCTTATCTGAAAACTCAGCACTCATGGCTTCCTCAAGCAATATCGGATGTAGCACGGAAATGGATAACACCAGGGAACAACCCCAGGTTCCCACAGTCTGCATTGGGCAGTTCACCATTCCCCTCTCGGTGGATGGAGTTCCTAGTCTGAACATGCCGCGAGCAATGGTGCCTATGGGTGTTCCCCTTCCTTCCTCTATAGAAACGACCTTTGCTGAACCGACTATCATCCCTCTGGCGACCAGCCAGAACCAGCTCGACGATCTGATGTAGTGCATGCGGGCCATGCAAGCCCAGGTGCAGTAGCTCCAGCAACACCAACTTTACCAACAGCAGGTGTTGCACCACATCTCCCAGTACCACTACCACCAGCAATTCCCTCAGCTGCCACAACCTTAGCTTCAGCAGCCGCAACTCCCTCCTCGGCACCTAGCCTCACAGCGAGCTAGGTCTCGCTGCCAGGATGAACGCCCTTCTCGCCAAGAAGAAGCCTCCCAAAACCCTCCTAAGAGTCAGGCCTCGTCCCACGGTAGACAAGAAAGACCGGCCACCCCGGTCTCGCCGCGGGCGGTCAGGTCGGGAGGACCCCAGCTCGCCAGGCCTACATCACCTCAGCAATCGAAGTTCGAAACCCCGCTCCTAGAGAACCGGTTTGAGATTTTGGCTGCAGACTCCAAGCAGGATCCCTCTATCCGTAGCCATCACCAGCGGCTCGAGCTATTTCCTGCACAAACCATTCCTGACAGCACGGAGGTGAGCAGCACGAATGTGGAGCCCGCCAAGAAGCAGAGACGCCGCCGCCGAGCTCGCCGATCTGCCACCCACAACTTGCTCGAGCTCGGAGGCAGAGAAGAGGTAAGCTCGAGCGAAGCTAAGGCTCCCCTCCTTAGCTTCCATCCCCCTTGTCTCCTGAGCTCCTGGCAGTTCCAATGCCCAAGGACTTCAAGCTCCCCCCTCTTGACAAGTTTGACGGGTCGTTTGACCCAAATGACCATGTAGACGCCTTCCAGTCGCAGATGCACCTAGCGAGAGCCAGTGAGTCATGCATGTGCATGGCCTTCTCCACAACTTTCAGAGGAGTGGCCCGCACGTGGTACCGGAACCTGGCACCCGGATCGATAAGAAGTTGTCTCACTTCGTCACTAGCAAGTGGTGCCCGCGATCTGAAGAAAGCCTCCTCAGCATAGTGCAGAGAGAGGGAGAGTCCATCCAGGGCTATATCAAGTGGTTCAACGATGCGTACATGCAGATACAATGCCTGGACCTCGCCGTGCGCCTTGCAGCAGCCAAGAAAGGCGTGATGCATAAAGAGTTCAAATGGCACATGGTTGTCAACCAACCGGCAACCATAATCGAATTTTTTAAGCTCGCGGACAAGTTTATTGTTAGACAGTTTTGTATGCCCTTAGCTTCAATCATTTTGATGTACTTTTGTTATTTAGTGGAAATAAATAAAGTGCATGTTTGATTCATGTTGTTTGGTTTAATTCTGTGTAAAACC